TGAAAGCAAGATTATATGCTGCTTTCACATGTCAGAAAGAATCTGACTTTCTGACTGAGGGTTACACAACCTTTGGTTTCTTTAAACTGTGTCTTGACTGATGCAATGTATGTCCCCCTCCTCTCTGCCATTTTCTTGTAGACTGGTTTTGATATGAAAACACTTTAAATGTGCCTTGTAATAAAAAGAAGGTAATGGAAATTCTTCATCTAGTAAAAGTTTATTTTAAGAAAAGTTTCTGATTATGTTCCACACAGGTTTCTGTGACTGATTATAAATAAATGATTGCATTATAAACTCTTACAGCTGTAAGCAATAAAAGCTTACAAGTTAAATGCTACAAAGCCAGACTYTCAGGGATCTTATCCCAGGGAGGGATCCAGGAGACTTAGGTGCTGAGGTGCTGTTTTCTGTACTTGAGGTGCTGTTTTCTGTACTTGAGTACTTGGGCAGTGGTGGTAAGTTCTGGGGCATCTTCATGCTGGAAATGAGTCACCTGGATTAGTTAGTAGGAAATGTAAAACTGTCTGGCATAGGAACACTTAGATGAAGATTACAGATGGGAACCTTGATCTGTGTAGGATSCAGAACGTTCTCTTCAAGGTGGTTATCTGCATTTGTATTTTCAAAGACTCAAGCAAAGATCCTAAGGGTCTTTTAGAAGTGGCATTGGTGCCTACCTCATAGATTTCTGGTTACTGTGCCTCTCATCCATGAAGGAGGGGACTCTGGTTTAATAATTTTTATAATGAAATCCACTAAGGAAATGAAAGCTTCTTCTCACCATATCTCATCTAGGCACACAGTTGGAAGTAATGAAAGCTCAGCTGGTTATTGAAAACTTAAGAAAGAGTTATGTGTGTTTTTAATCATGAAATGGAGCTTTTCCTGTTCTAAATCTACAAATTTAAAGGAGATCATAAAATGTTGGCAAATTTGGGGTTGTAAAAGTTCGAATCACAAATCTGAGAAACTTTGTTCTGAATGTTGAAATTGCAGTTGTAAGACTAGACAGATTATTTTGTTATTGGCTGTTAAAGCCAATGCTTCTCATTGTAGAAAGATTTTTCAATGCTTTGTAACCAACAGCAGCTCCACAATTGAAAGTATTACCAGGAAATAGTAGATATAGCTGGGAAAAGTTTTGGTCCTGTTAATAGAGGCAACAGAGGGATCTATACTAGGATTGATTTTGTTTGTGACCTTGAGAATACATTCAGTTTAATAACGGACGCTGCTCTTGGGTTAACTTCCCTTGGTGCTACCTTAGGCAGATCCCAGAGAACATGGGGAATGATACAGCAGCAGCCGCTGAGGAGGGACAGGAGTCCGTCTTGCCTKTTGTGTGGGGTGGTCTGTAGGAGCAACAAAAAGCTGGGAAGCAGTGGCTTTATCAAACGTGAATGAGAAGGATGAGTCTTCAATACTCTTGTTAAAATCATATTTTAGCATAGCACCACTTTGAAGAAGATGAAGAATGAGAGAAGCCATTCATTTTTGGGATTTATTTCCTAAGCGGGTTTCACTCTGTTTTAGTGGATAATATTGCCATTTACTTCTTGGGCCTGTTTTCYTAAGGGCTTTTATGCAAGAATATTGCAAAACATGGCATTTGGAAAGAGAAGGTGTTATGCTACCTYATTAAAGGAGACAATAAAATAATTCAGAGAGACAACAGCCACTGGACTTCATTTTAATCATTTTAATTTATCATTAATCATTTAAATCATTTCAATTTATCTTTGTGACAACAACATCCAGCTGGTGCAGTTGTTATAAGGGACTGGCAACTGAATGGAGCATCCTGCATGTCCCAGTAAAATGTTCTAGTGTTTCTTTACCTCAGCTTGGTGAGGAGTTACCTCATCCCAGAAACCCAGGTTAAGGAGCAGGGAGGGATAATCAGGGTCTAGCCAAGGGTTTGATCAGGTGTTGTTCCTGATCCTGGTTCCACTCATCAATACTAGACTCTGGCCTTTATACCTTTGATCCAGAAGATGTTTTTCTGGTTGTTCTTACAAGGCAATCCTTCCAGAACCTTAGTGAGCTGGGTCTTGTCACAATTATTAGCAAAGTGAGCGTCTGGCCTCTACAAAGCTTCTCACTTCCCCTCCCTTGCAGCTGGGGCCAGCACCCAATGTTTCCTCATGGTATTTCTGCCACTTTGGCAGAGTTGGTGCAATTCGGRTTTTACTGTCAACTCTTTGCTTGCACATCAGAATGTTTCTCTAGCTGCTCTCTCCARAGTGTTTAAGAATTCATCACAAGTCCACTTTTCATTGTTTTGATCAGATCACACCAGCAGAGAATAGCCAGAATATCTCTACTGGCTCTGGCTAAATTTTGAATGATTGTATGAAGCGTTTCCTTCATATCAGTTTTCTTCCCTATTTGACTTCTCCTGAACTTTATCCTTATTCATTTTTAATAGGAATCTGGATTGTTTTGCAAGATAACATTACCGCAGAATCACAGAGGTTGTTAAAAGTAGAATCTCAAACAGCAGCATTATGTTGAAGCTTGTATGTCGAAGCTTGACAGGCTTGCAAACAATGGCCTTAAGTGCTTCTATACTATTAAACTACTGTTTTTCTTTCTCCTAAAGGGAAATGCTTCCCTTCCTGATTAAAAGTAGTTAAAATGGAAGTCTTCTCTATGTAAATTTTATGCAATCAAAGGGAAAATGGAATATTGCTAAGATGAAATCATAATATTTTATGGTTCATAGATTTATATATTTTCAAAAGGCTAAGCTTTTTTAAATGCTATTATAGTTGAAATTAAACCAGAAATAATTTGACAGAGGATCTTAATGTATTTAACTATTAGGAGGATTCTGCTTCAGTTCTATACTTTTTGCTTATGGAATGTAACAAAGTAAACAACATGTATTTGACAATTTCTCTGTGCTTTGAAAATTAGAAGACCTGATATGTGTTGTGGTCATGCCTGGATTGGCTTTGACCATTGTTGCCATGCAGCTGTTCATGCCCATACGCAGTTTTGCTGGCCTTGTGTACAGTATATATAAAATGTTCTTAGACTGCAAGATGTTGCTGGTGATGACTCTTTGGATGTATAGCACAAACCACACTCAGGCTGTGAAGCCTAATTGAAATCTCAAAATATATATAAAGCCTTAATATGTTTAGAAGCATTTGGGTAAGGACTGCTTATTGTTAGAGCCACAGATTCACGTATGGTGAAGGAGTCTTCAAAAGTCATCTAGCTCTAGGCCTTCTTTGGCTGCCCTCATGGAAAGCAAAACAAACCACTTGGAAGGTGTTTAAGAACTGTCCGCAGATGGGCCCAAGTCTCCAATGATTAGAAGCTTGATTAGCTGACATAACAATCTCTTAGTTCAGCTGAGTAGGATACACTTAAATACACTTCAAAGATAAGAATATTTACAAAGAATATTTACAGTCATAAAGGTAAACACAGTGAAGCAATGAGGAAGCAACAAATATGCAAAAACAAAAAAAACCCAAAAACAACAACAACAAAAAAAAAAAAACAGAAATGTTTTGAAAAAGTCCCACAAAGCTGATATKTAATTGAAAAGATAAATGACCCTTCCTCTAACCTAAAATAGTGCAATAGGCCCCATTTCCCCATCTCTCTGGATTTACAGCTACCATATGGTACGTTGCCATTTAAAAATTACGTTTATCAGAGAGACTAGGTCTAGRGCTGCAAAGCATATAAAGAACTGTCTCAAAAGAGAATTGCTACCTGGAGGGAAATTACTATTAATGTTCTATAAAATCAAATTTAAAACAGATTTTTTTTCCTTGTCTTCTGAAATAGCCAAGGGTTATGCACATGTTCTTCATGCYAGTCTCTGACACGGTCCTCCCTCAGGTGAAGGAAGTGCTGCAGATTTACTTCATTTTTGCAAAACAGGAGAACATAGTATTTCGAAACTATTAGGTTACTTTTTTCTTTTTKTTATCTGCCTGTAAGGCAGAACACAACATAAGGCCTGGACATTGGTCTTGTGTTACTTTAGGCTCCACAAACAACTGAAAGCAATGATGTTAGAGGAAGTCCATGCAGTTGTCTCTTAGAAGACACATTTGGAACAGGCCCGCAGATCTGTGACTGGGACCCCCAGCATTAGCACAGGTCCCAAAGGAGATCCCTAGGCCTAGTCTCCTTTCAAAGTTCAGTCACCAGTTACTTGTCCCTTATTTGCAATTTCTTCTGCTGGCTTTGACAAGGCTTTTGGGATGGAGGCTTTACAAGCACCCGATACAGCCAGCACTGCAGGGAAGGTGCTAGCTAGGAGTCATGCCTTGTGATCTACCCAAGTGCAACAATCCTGTGATCCTGTGGATCCAGGTGCACAGGTAAGGCTTTGGAAGGCGATAATCAATATTTCTAATTGTAATGTTTCAATTCTATATTCTTACTCTGAGGTCCTTGAGTCTGTATCTCATATTCCTGCATATTTGAATTCTGCAAATACAACCCAATAATAAGCTTCATCTGTTTATTCTGAATCTCTGAAATTTCAATAACCTTTGTGCAAAGACTTTCCTTTATTGAATTCTAAAAAAAGATCACATTATCTGAGTGCCAAAATTAGTTGTAGAGCATATGCTTTTAGCATCTTATAGGACTTGTTGAAATCTGTGAAAGAAACATACCTTAACATCCTAAATTTTCAAGCAGCTGTAGCTTATCAGTCATACTGGCATGAAGAATATAGTGTATGCCTGTGTGAATCACCAGTCTCTGCCTTTAAAACAACTGACATTGCATTTCATTTTTCAAAAGCAGCAATAGTAACAAAACAAACAAGAGAGCAAAAATAATAGCTTGTGCTCCTTAATGTGAAAGCTGGAAATACAGTGTCTGCAAAGTGGCTGTTGTTTCATTTGCTCAGCCTCCATGTGACTGGAAGTTGAGCGCTTCTGAAAGAGCAAAGATTCAGGATTTACTGAAGGAGCGCTTGATCATATGGGTAAATACACAGGTGGCAAGCTTCCTGAGATAAATCGTCCCTTCACCTCGCTTTTAGCTGTAATCTTCTGTCATGTGCAGAGAGGTGCTGTCACTGTTGGAAAAGATGGTAGAATATTGCTTAAAAACTTACATGCATTTTATCACTTCTGACTGCTTTGTTGTATTGTAACATCTGGCATAAGTACAAAGGGATTTTTATTGTTATTTTTCTAATCAGGTCCTCTTGGAATTCTAACATTAGCTACTTCCAAACTGGTACGTCAAAGGCTTCATTTATCATTTATCAGGAAGCATATGGGAAAATATAATTTTCATGTAAATGCAAAAAGAATATTAATAAAAAGTGCTTAGTGAAACTTTCTCTATTCCTACAGGGCTGTAATGGCAGGAGTGAGGTTTTTTTTGGTTTTGTTYTGGTTTTTTTTGGATCTTACTATTTGGAAATACTATTTAGCAGAAATCTGAGAAACATTAGGTACCAAAATCTGATTAACAACKAGCTGGACACACAGAATTTTTGTTTTGATAAGGAAAGAAAATGAGACCTGGCACTAGGGTATAGTAAAAGAGCGGAAGAGAGTCTGTGGTCCATGTGGATTTTGAAGTGTATAAAGCAGAAATTCTGAAGAATAATCATATATTTCAGTTTGCGAGTCAGGACAGAGCATAAATAAGAGATGTGCAGAGCAGCAATACCTTGAATCTAAATCCCAGAGGACTTGTGCTCTGAGTAAGGCAAAACACGCTATGAACTTGGATTTCTAAGTGACATGTCAGCTATTATGGAGCAAGTATTTTATGCCTGAAATCTTGGTGGTCTCAATTTTATTTCAGAACAGCATTCTTGACAATTTTCTAACTAGTAATTGTATCGCTGGTCTTTTTTTAGTGGTATTTTTAACAGCACAGCAATGATCGCTGTGTAAAGCAGTACAACTCTGTTCAATTTTTTTTTTTCTCAAAGCATATTTCTGGGCAGCAGCTTAAATAACTCATCGAGGGAGAAGGACAATATCTTTAAATATGGGGAGATACAATTTAATGATACACAGGTAGCTGAAAAGTAAGCTATAGTTCTCTATCTATTTTAACCCAGATATTAAAAGCTTCTGAATTCCCAGTCAGTGCTCAGGAAAAGTGAAGAAGAGCTCAATTCATGAAATGGGTAGTAATTACATACTTAGAGCATCAAAATAATTCCTAAACTGAAAAAAGAATTAGATATTTCCTTTAAGTGAAAGGAAGCTGATAATAGCTTTGTTCAGGATTCCTAGGTATCATTTCTGATTATTTTAGTCTTATTTTCAAATCCTCTAAGTACTGTCTGCTCAAGGGTCCTCTAGACTCGTTTGGCACAGAAGCTGATATTCAAACAAGGGTTGTTGGGAGGTGTCACTCTTCTCTAGAACAAAAGCAACGGTATTTTATTTCTCATGAAGCGATAAACATAATATCAAATTTGAAGAAAAAGTTTGATTTTTAAAAAATGTGTGTCATTTAAAGGCTTTAATATTGTATATAGTATAGTCATCTAGTACACTTATGTACTTCTGGGTAACCTTGTAGATCCAGTTCAGAATGATCTGGATTGTGACAACTGTCCCTATCCCTGTCACAAAGGCTGGTATCTTCTGCTCTGTTCAGTACGTCCTGCTCATCCTGCATCACTTTTTTTTTCAGGAACTGAATTGTCTTCCATCGTGTTGAATGACTTGATTCACAGTACGGCACATCCTTCAAAATACTTCTAGAGCTGCTTCAGACTCTTTCAGCCAATGATGCGCCTCCTCAGCTCAAATTTCTATTATGTTTTCTATGCTGTTTGTCATGTTCAGCCTGGACTCGCTTCGTAATCGAGCACAGGAAGGCTGTCTTCAGTGAAAACACACAGTTCAGCGTTATAGTTTTCTTTTTCTTTCCAGCTCAAGATTGTTTTCCTTTTTCTTCCTTCAGCTAGACATTAAGTTTCCATTTCTCTTCCTTTAGAAAATCCCTTCCTTTTTTTTTTGGGGGATCATTTATCCTTGTTTTTTCTTTTTCTATGCTAGCACTTTCCTCTTCAAGTTCTTCCTTTTCTCTTTTTAGACAACAGTTTCATTTCRAAGTCTTCCCCTTATTCTTTTTAATAGAACCATCAAATTAGTTACATCCCTCTACGAAGTTCATAGTACAGAAGCCCAAGTATCTGCCTTGGACTCAATGCTCTTTTGACAGATTGCAAATGCTTTTCTTGCCTCCCTCAATGCATCTACATCTTGGATATCTTCCTGGTTCCATAAACAGCCCCTTCTGAAGTTTACCTCTGAAAGAAGTCTAGGCTTTCTTCTTCCTTTTTTTTTTTTTTTTTTTTTTTTTTTTAATTCTGGTGAGTGATTATTTCTGTGTTCAAATCATTAGCCTCTATGAAGAAAAAAAGTCTGAGCAGGAGAGTTCAAGTCTCCACAAATTACAGTAAATTGCAAATAACTAATCCTCATTTCAGTTTCAGGCTTTTTGTACAGAGGATGGAGGCTGCCTGCATCAGGAATTGATCTATGACAGATCTTTTGGGTCACCGTGTTCAGGCACCTTCAGTCATGTGCAAGTAAACTCTTTTAAGTAAGATCTGTGCAGCTTGCAAATGTAATGAAATTATTTATTAGCTAATACATATTAAAAATGGTTTTAATGAGTTATTAGGCTAAGCTTAAGTAGGCTTATCACCCTGCAAAGATATATGAAAGGTTTTGCTGGCAAGGCAGGTGCCAGTTGGAGAAGAGTGGGCCTCTGCTGCTCCCAGAAATGGATCTTTACTAAGCTGCTCCTACTAATCCACCAAATCTGCCAAAACTAGTGATCTGAAGGCTGACCTGGCCAACTGTCAATTACTTCCTTATTTTAATTTCTTTAGGGGGATTTTACACATTTCTACATCTGTTTTCCCTCTTGAATTCTTGAGTGACTAATGATCCAGTATCCACAGTCTCTTTCTGTGTAATTTTTCTGTTCTTTCTGCTGAGTTTCTCAGCTCTCTCCCAAGCGGGCGATATTCTCGGAAGTCGGGGTTGAAGACATGCAGCTGGGCCTTGTCAGAGCTGAGCCATGGGGCTGGGGGACGTGCTCCGCTGAATGGGCTTGGGCAGGGTTGCACAGGATGCATTAAACACAGCAATGATCTGTTCCTTGATGAGCAAATATGCTCAGAAGATGACATGTAGGGACAGATGCTGAGGGGCACAACAGTGACTTTCCACACTGTAAAATTCTGCAGCCGTTGGCAGTCAGCTAGGCCTCCAGGGCAGCCATCCCCCAAGTGTCAGTCTAATCTCTCTGCAGGGCTCAGATCTGCTTTTGAGGAAATGAAGATTGGCCCGGTGACGGCTACAACCTAGACCACTGCTATATAAAGGAGACAGTATGAAATATGCCTGGCCTGTCTCTGCACCACATTCTGTTGTTTTGAAAGAATTGACTCATGCAGGATGGCAAGATTGATCCTCTGAATATGGGACTAGTCTGCCCTTGTGCTAAGGAACAAGGAAAGGCTCATGAGAGCCTTTGTCACTTAGTCTGGAGGAGCAGCACAAGCAGCAGTGGCAGAAGCAGGCAGCCAGGTTTTGCAGTAATATTTGCAGAAAAAAAATAGTAGAAAGCAAAGTAGAATTGTAAATAATATTTAAACGTGTGAATGGAGAATGCAAATATACAGCACTTTGGAACAGGAAGAGCAGGCAATTCTTAAATGYTGACCATGGACCTTCAATTTCTTTTCTCATGTTTTTAATAGCAGTTTGTCCTTCGGAGGCATTATGATTGTCTATATGCTGTTTTCAAGGTGTGATCATTTGTGGTATTATAGATGGATAACAGGCCTGACTAAAATTGGCAGAGGCTTGGTACAACACACACATATCTGGATTGCTCTGTCTGCACTGGCTCCTGTAAAGTGAAGGAAGCGTCACTGGTTAAGCAGATTACACTGCTTCCACAGCTGCTCATTATTCCACAATAAGCTTATGCATCATGGTCACACTGGTCGAGAGACAAGACTCCTGTCATTCTGCTATCATCCCCAGAAGAAGTCCTTGCAGAACTGACTTCTTAAAAATAGAGTATTGATTCTTTTTCACTGTTACTGTCACTCATCAGTAGCACGTTATAGTAACACATTTCTGGTCTGGCAAGATACTACTCATTTAAACTCCTACTTTTTTCTCTTGAATTAAAGGAGGAAATGAAAAATACTGCTTATAGCCAATTGCCGTTTGGGTGATACCTGAGCATGCTGTTTTTCTCTTTTGCTGAAGAYAGGATGTAGAGGTTTCATCTTCTCACCTTTGAGCTTTTATGTCTGTCTGGGCTTGTAATCATTCCTTTGGTTATGGGAGACTGGTTCTGATTCAATGTCTAGCAAAGATAAAGATTTTCATGAACTCCTAGTGATTTTAGAATTGTATTTTTGTTAATCAAAACAGAAAACCATTATACAACAAAATACCATTACTGYTGTTAGTGCTTTGACTTTCTAGAAAGAGGAAATTTTGTCCGGAGTAAGCTACTACTAAGGTTTTAAAGATCTTATGTTTATAACATCAGTAATTTACCAGATCTTTTATAAAGGATTCTGAGTCCATGACTGTGTCTACTGTGATATGGGTAATACACCTACACGTGCACGCAGGCATGCACAAACACACATACAGTTGGAAAGCCATTGAAGTGTGTCCATGGTGGTTGAATGCTTTAGTTCTCATTCATGAGATTAACTTACAATTAATGATTATTTTAAAAATTAAAGCAAGAATTAAAAAAARCACAGATCTACAATAGATCGTTCTAAAATGATGTGAGCAGAGGTTTCTGTCAGTTTTGCAGTGAAGTTATCCCTATTACTCTGCAGCTGTGAGATGCAGTGCTGTATAACTGGTAGATGTGCTGCAGAAGGGAGGTCCATAAGGCTGGGCACCTACAGCTTCTAAACTTTCTGGTTCCAAATGGGAACCCGGTATTGTAATGATACCCTAGCAACTCTTGCTGTATGGAAAGTTATAGCTTACAATTTCCTTGACTTTAGTCAAGAGTCAAGTTCTGCTTAAAAATAAGAAGCTAAGATGCTCAGATGCACATTTGTGYAGCTAACCTGGAAGCTGCAGACATGGCTGACTGCCTAGTGCAGTCCTATGCACCTCAGAAATATGAGTGGGTTGTCTTGGCAAAACTATCTCTGGTACCATCTGCAGTGAAATCAAGTACTTTTCTGGTATTCATTTAGGTAAGTTTTGTCTTCTGTGTTCTAAAGCCCTCTTTTATCTTCACTGAAAATCAGGGGATATAATATAGGAGAACAAGGTAGAGGGATAATTTTGAAGATTATATTTTGGAAAAATATTCTTTTTGCTATTTTTTTTCTCTGAGAAGTTTTGTAAACTCTTAATGTTRCCACTGATTGAGACTCATTGTGCAGCAGACCTGCCCTTTATTTGTTTCATCTTGTGGTCTTCAAATACAAGTGTATCTTTCATCTTATCTCGGTTGTTTGGGCACAAGAGTCTACGTGGGTGTTGTCCCTTCTGATTCCAAATTGGCTATAGCAGTCCTTAAATTACTTTTTAGGACAAAATGTTGTGAAGTTGTAGCTTCCCTAGGCCATTAAAAACTGTGAAATATAATTGATAGCTCTAATTACTTGGCGGGCATATTAGGAAATAATGTTATGTTCTTATGCAATCTTGAGCATAAAGACAGTTCAGATTGAAAAAAAAACCCAAGCTTTGTAGATGCGCTGTAGGAAACTCTGATATTTTCTCCTTAAGTTTGCTGTTTTCYGTTTGTATGGACAGAAAAGTTAAATGTTTCTAATATAAAGTTCAGAAAAATGTTGCCATCCCAAGACATCTGTGGTTCTTAGGAGATTTTGGCATTCCTTCACTGAAGCATTTCAGTTCACATGGAACAAGATCAGTCCTAGAGCGTATCTATCTGGGTTAATTCAGTGTCTTGCAAAAAGGCTTAAAAAGGATGATGATAATGTGTGCATTACTTGGAGGTTGGATTAGGAAGTTTTACCTAACTAGGGCTAGTTGGACAGTCATGGAGTTCATGAAATTGTGTGGACTTGCACAGTTTCAATACTGCATTAAGGCATGTTATCATCCTTCATGGTATTTTTTGCTGGTCTGTAGTAGCCTTTCAAATGATATTTTTAATAGACCATGTTGTATTTCTAGGGAGATCCAAATTAAATTGAAGTCTTGTCTGTATATGTTGGACATATGGTCACTTTCTTTTAAAAAGGAGAATTATCTTACCATCTTTGGTTAATTCGTGTCTTATGCTGCAAGGTAACACAAACATATTTAATAAATCAATGTATTATATAAAGAATGTGCACAAATCTTTATATTTTATTTCAAATATGTTTATTTCAATATCTAGCACTGCAGTGTTTGTTAAACGGGACTAGTTCCTAGAGAAGCTGACTCAGCAAAAATATTTATTACATAGGAGGAAGAAGACATTTTACTAATTAATGATTAATAATATTGAAAAAAAATGTGTTGAAAAATCTCTATTTTTAGAGGAAATTGGAAGAGTGGCATTATGCGTTGTGATGAATCTGATATTATATACTCTAAAAAGGATGAGTTTGTTGTTAAGAAATAGTATATTGTGTTTTAGGGTTAGTCAACAAGACCTTTACTCAAGTAACTAACCTAAATTAAATCAGTACAGCTCATACTATGTTTAAATGGTCATGACTTAATAAAATTCTCAGAAATACATTTTTATTAGATAAATTTGCATGGCATTACAGTATGTTAGTTAGTATGTTTTTTCTGTGCAAATTCGGGGAAGGAAAGTTACTATGGTTACAGATAATTCTGAATGATTTTCTCATCTGTTGAGTGTTTTTATACCTAGCTTTTCCAATATGCCTTTTAGTTTTGAACTGAAATTCTGAAGCTACAGGAGGTTTTTTAAATTCTGTTGCCAGGTAATCATCGTTAAAATGTAAGGAGTCCCTTAAAAAGGAAAGGAAAGAAGAAAAAAGAAATATGATTAAGCTTTGTAGCTAACTCTCTCTGTAGAATATTTTCCTTGAAATAACATGAAAATCAGACTTTCTTCTGCTAGTTTAGTTGCAGCTAATTTAAGAGCTTCAATATATTTTTACAGTAATTTTGCAAATATATTCTAAGTAGGTTCTACTTCCAGCTAAGAAATTTGACATGAGCTTTCTTCATAAATTTAATAACACTGTCACTTAAATCTGCAAGAATCCTAGCTCAAAGCAGGATGACAATGACATGTATACACCAGCTGTTCCTGAGATATGAGTATTATATTGGTCATTAAAATACATTTGAATTCTCAGCCTCCAACTCTTCTTATATTTTGAAGAAACACTTTGTTTTTCAAGCATTTATTGTTAGAAACATGCAAGTTTGTGACAGGTACCTTGCTGCTCAAAGCCTGTTTTTCCATATCTGRAAGGAATATAAATGGCTTAAAAAGTCAGAATTTTCAGTCTCTTTTCTCTAAAATTTCAAGCCTTGTGAAGACTTGCAAAGTAAAGAGTAATGAAACTACTGAATTGCAAGAACTCTGCCCAAGTGGCAGAAACAACATGGGGAAACATTGGGTGTTGTCACCGTCAGCAAGGGAGGGAAGTGAAGGYCTTGTGAAGATTGGGAGATCTGGCTTGGGTAAAAATGGCAGCAACACCCAACTTGCTAAAGAACTGACACCTTTGCAGACCTCACCTTGCTGACTGTGCAACAAGCAGATCCTCTTACGGATCTYACCTGAAGATTCTGGGAAGATCACCTCGTAAGGATATCCAGAGCAATATCTCCTCCAGGGGTATAAAAGAGTCTAGCAATGACGAGTGGAGCAGTTTTCCAGGTTTTCAGTTTTTTTCAGGCTCAATGATGGTGAAATACAGCTGGTTTTAAGAATCAATTTGTAAAATTAAATGTCATTTGCTTTGATGTATCCTTAGTATTCCTTTCATTGTTCCTTTCRTGGGAAATCTTATAACTTCTGCTTCTGGCTCTAAATTAGAATTTGGGTTTCCCAAGAAACACAAAACGGAAAGTATACCTTTCAAAGGGTTTTTTTTTWWAAATAAATTTCTATCTAAACCTTTTGCTGTTTATTTTTATTCATAACTTCCTAGTAGATATGTTCTTGAAATAATTTGGCCTTCACATCTTAAGTAGGATTTCATCAGCTGACAAGTCTGGTCAGGCCTGCTGGGTTACATTATGGACAGACACCAGATCTGAACAACTGATGCTTTAAAAATCCTACTGATGGAGCTGTTCCCTTGGGACACAGCTGTTTTCACCTCACACGTGCTGCAGATGTTCAGACCAACCCAGGATATTAACGTTACCAAATCCTGTGGTGGATTTGGTAACAAACCTACCATGGACTCGGAACTCCTGCTTCCCAGTTTTTGGTGCCTGCACTTGCTTAGTTTGCTACAGTTACATAAAATGCAATTCCATCTTCTGTTTGATCCTAACTGCTTCCCATTACGTGAGAGGTAAAATTTTTTTTKCAGCCCTTGTATATTAGTAACTTCTAGCAACAGATCTTCTCTGTCTGGTAGAATAAGGACTGAGTTAGTAAACTAAAGCTTCTTCTTTTGTTCCAAGCAATCCTCCTCTATGTGGACCCCATGCCTAGCTGTCTTGGAGGAGTGGTTATGTAAAATAAGGGATGAATGTAGATGCCACCTTCATGTTAGCTGGTGTGGCTGGAACCAGACTTGAACACCAGTTTAGAGATTATTTTCCTTTCACAACTGCTGACTCAGCTGTTTATGAAAACAATGCCAAATCTGTGGACTAACTGTAAAAGCCTGGAGTGCTTTGCTGTTTCTGCTTCTCTTTCTTGTAAATATTGTTTCATTTTGAATTGAATAAATTCACACTTAGTAATAATGTTGTGGAGATATGCAGGTAATCTCTGCTGTATCTCAGCTACTTTGAGAGTGCAAGTCTGTCTATACCCTTAAAGCTGTCCTCATGAGTTGCAGTCACAGTCCAAACCAGAGCCACTTACCACTTTATACTCTGTGGAATTATTCAGTGAAGTCACAGGGTTGGCTATGCTGTACCTCGCATCTTCTCAGGTCTCACACCTTCAGGAAATTTCGGCGAGTCTATTTTGTAGCTTAATCAGCATTTCATTAGCATGTCTAGAGCAACAGATGAGTGAACCTCCAGCCTGCAATTTGGATAAGTTTTAATTTTAGAGATAATTTCCCCAAAATAAAGCATCTTGGCTGATATGTCTTAGCACATTCATGATTCACAAAGCTAAAAATAGTGTTCATAATCATAGCATTGAAAAAAGTGAAATGCTGAATATTTAAAACTGTACACTGAGCAGACTGCTACAGATTAAGAATCTAACAGTAGTTTTTGGATCACTGTAGGAGATGGGACGAGTGATGTATTTGAGCTCTTGTAGTGTTTAATGACCTAGCGACTTTAGGGTAGCCTCCTCTTTGCAAAGAGGAGGTGGTAATTATTGCTTCAAAAATTAATCTGTAGGTTTCTTAATCTGCCTGATGCAGATTAATGTTCATCACTGAATGTGTACYGTCACCAGCAAGTCAAAGGAGGTGACTGATACTCTCTATTCAGCACTGACGAGACTATTTCTAGAGAGCTGGATCCAAATCTACTCAAAACCCAACTGGTCGTGGGCCTGAGCAATTCGCTCTGGTGACCCTGGTTTGAGCCTGACGGTTGGACCAGATGATCTACAGAGGTCCCTCCCAACCTCAGCTACTCTGTGACTTATTTAAATAATCTTTTGATAGAGTACTGTGGGAATTGTTTTTTAGATATTTTTTTCCATGAAGAGTGTTATAGAAACAAGTCATAAAGCTTGATTCATAGAACGCTTCAAGTTATAAAGCTCGATTTCATAGAACTCTTCAAAGGAAGAATTGTGAGAGGCTGCATCCAAACTGGCATTCTACCTATGCTGATGGGCGAGAAGGCGATTTGATTCTTATTATCCCTTGCGGCACAGGCAGTCAGTAAGGAGAATAATTCATGTTTTGTAGGTGTCTGCTGAAAACTGGATACGAGTGAGGAGGCAAATCCAAAACCTGACTAAATAATTTCAAATAATGTTATTTACATTTTACAAAGAGTATGCTCTCAGAGGACAGTGATAAAATGTGTTTCCATAACTAGAACCAAATATTTTTTTTTCTTGTAGCTATAACATAAAATTACTATTTAGACTATGTCTCTCTATTCTACTTTCTAAACAGACTCCGCTTAGAAATCACTTCTGTTAATGATGGTTTAAGATGCATCAAATCCTGAGTAAATGATTAACAGAGAGGACAGGGTAAGAGAATTAGTTTCATAGCAGCCTTGCCTCTGTCTCTCCAGCAAGGTAGAAATCAGCAGTGCCACGGGGTTTGCTCTTTGACATGACCCAGGGATAGTGGGAGGATCTGGTCTCTTGTCAATATTCTTGTTTTCTAGTGATTGAAACCTCTGTTTATTCCTTCTTGCTATGGCATAACAGTCAGGTGATACGTCCTGGTAATCTGAAGGACAGCCAGACCTTGGGGCCGAGTCCTGTCTCCCTCTTATCTTTGCTGTTAACCRTGAGCACAGATCCTGGCAAGGTTTTAGCCCGGATTTAACATTTCCCTCTGTCACATAGTGCCCGGGATGGCTCGGGGGTGGTTGGCACAGGCCGGGGACTGTTCTCCCAGCACCGTTCTCATGGAACAGCGCTGCAGGGAAACAGATTTCAGCTGAATAAATGCCTGCAGCGCTGCTTGGTGTCAGGGGAAAAGCACGATCCCTGGCTCCATTTATTTAGAATAAGTATAAATTCACAGGACTGCAAGGTACATCCTGCACTGGCATTTCTGTATCTGGCTAGAACTGGTTATATCGTTGTAAACCTGTAAGAAACCTTTTTCTAGGGATTTTTGTTTGTTTATCTTCATGAAGTAACCTAGTAATTATATAGTCATATGCTGGATGAAGTCCTTTTTTTTYCCCTGCTATTAATTCTGTTAGTTAYGTGAATTATAAGACTGTTCTAGTCTTGAAATTCTTTTGCTCCCGACTGATATACCAACAGTTAAAAAAGGATGCGCTGCCTGTGCAGACTTGGGCTGAGTAATTAATTGGYACTGGCTGTCCCGTAACTTCTTAGACTGATTGCCGGTTTCATGAATAAACTGGAGGCTGCCCAAGGAACTGCCAAAACGGTGCGTTTGTGACCTTGGGTGGTAACAGTGGGGAGAAGCTCCCCCACTTAACTGCGAAAATGTCTGTGCTTCTGCCTTTGCCCGTTCAGCTCTTGCTGTAATTGCTGCCACAGTTCGAGTCTTCGGCTCCGGTAGTGGCGYCTGTTTCATTTCACGCCGGCAACATGGATTTTCTGTGATGGAATGCTCTACCCGCGGCGCCCACCGGGATTTTATCTGGCCTGTAATTGGCAGTTGATGAGGTTTTTTTTGAGTCCTCAAAAACCTTGACGTCAATTTTATGGTGTGGATTTATAATGCCTCCTGCAATTTGATTGTAGTTTATTGAATTAGTTTCTTTAATTTAGATTTAGTATTATCTTGTATATTCTTTTTTTTAGTTGTTCAGAAGGTACACATCAGAGATTGATATGGAATAAAACCAATGAAGAAATATGTATAAATATTTTATAGTCCATCTAAAATGAATACTATTTGCTGAAGAAACAGCACTTCCACTTCTGAGAGTTTCTTGGAACATCATCAACTAGTATGTATGGCTTTAGTCTTCAAGTTATCTCATACAGAAGTTTTCTGAGGGAAAAATTTGGTGGAATTGAAACAACACCTATTTGGTTGGTGCAATCTTGTTTTACAAAAACAACGTCCAACTTTGTGCCAAAAAAAAAAAAAAAATCAATGCGAATTTAAACAAAGAGGAAAATGATGGAGAAAGGAAATGGATATTCATCATTGATCTTGTTCCTGTTTTGCAAATATACCCTGGGAGTTGCTATGCTATGACTAACTCTATTGTGCCATGGGCTGCATTTCCTGAATGCAAATCCAGAGCTTGGTAAAACTCTGCTTGCAGTTCTCCTGTAAAAGAAACTCTGAACCAGAAAGAATGTTTTCATTTGATAGAAAGCAGTATACCRAGTGGAAGTAACATAAAATATATGTGGCAAATATACAAATATTCTATACTTATAACCATCAATTATACATTTTTTTATATATAAAATCTCTGGTTTTATGAACTAAAACAAAAAAAATCTCCTATGTACACACYTGGTCACATGCACTCATCAGTATGTCCGGAAAAATTAATGGTAAAATTAGTGTGTTGACTGACTGTATCCCAGAAATCTGGAGTCTTTTTTTATTTATTCTTTTAATGAATGATTTTACTAAGGACAGATGCAATATTGTTGATAAAGATTAGCCTTTGCCCATTGGTCTCTGTGACAGATGAGGATTTTCCAGCCACCTGGGAGCACAGATCTATTTGACTAGGAGGAGCTTAAGTGCAGCTGTGCTCCAAATCTACGGTCCTGGGGGCAAACAAAAATGCACATGTGCTCTTCAGTTTGCTTCCTTCCCCGTGAGCTTCACATATACCTTTTATCACAAAACTTCTCTTAACAATCTTTCCTTAAACATGGACCAATTATGAGCACTCTCACAAGACTGGTACTGGAAATATTCTTTCCCATTTGAGCCATTTCCTCAAAAGATTTTTTATTTCTTTTATCGTAATTATTCATTATAGGATTGTTAATTCTTTTCCCTGGTCTTGTGCTAAGAGATGGTTATTTCAGTGTAAGTGATAGTTACCAAAAGCACATAATCGCAATGTAAGAGTTTTAAATTATTAACTGCAGCTATTCAGGAAACAGCAAAACTGCTCCACTGCACCTGTAGAATTTAATTCCTCAAAACTATGTGACTTTGAAGAACTAATTTGAAATCTGAACTAATTTAGGCTTCTTTCTGTTCRGAGAGGAGTCTTGTTCTCTAATTTTGTGCCTCAAGCTTAATTTCAAGTCTGCACTTCCACTGTGCTTGTGTTCATGGAGGCAAAAAGATAATTTGATCACTTTAGACAGACAGAAACACTGAGGAAAGAAACAAATCCAATCTTTAAAGTATTCCTTTGTACAGTGAAGAGGGAAAGTGGGCCCATGCTACTGTAGGCCAGGCTGAACTGATCATAATTTGAGAAGCTGTCCGTGTTGTTAGGCTGAGAGCAGCTGAGCAGCATCAGAGCCTCTTTGTTTGTTTCTTTGTTTTCTTCCAACTACGGAGGCAGATGATTGAAGGGAACTTTTGCAAACGGGCAAAACAAATTCTCTAAATCTGTTGATTGCTTCTGCATTTCCAGTATCCGTCCCTGATGCATCCTGCCTGCCTCTCATGCTGTGAAAACAAGGCTTTAGAACCAAATGAGTTTTCTTGGGACTTCTGGAATTTAAATCAGCTGGAGGGCTTAAGAGGAGTGGCACAGAAGCAKGGAATTGTGACCTGAAGAAAGATGAGAAAAAGATTCTTACATGTTCCTGAGGCATGATGCTAGCTAATATAGCTACACATTTCTAATAGCTGACTGTTTTTTGTTTTTTTTTTCATTTGATGTTGAGTTCCACAATAAGTAAAATAAAAGCCTGCTTCAGCTCACAGTTCAGTTTGTAATGAATGGTATGTATGTGTGAAGATGATAGACAGGAGTACAGAGAAGTGGTGTGTTTGAGACCAGTACCCCTGGAAAGGAGAATTGGGCCTTACTCTTGTGCTGTGGATGGGATGCCTCTGCCGTTAGCTTATCTTTACTCAGTTCTTCTCAATTGCCATGCAAGGCAAAGGTATTAGAGCAGTTCTGCTTCTTCTTTGCCTATTTCTTCTATTGTCACATGCTGTAGGTGTGCCTGCTTGAGCAGGAAGGTTGGACTAGATGATCTCTAGAGGTCCCTTCCAACCTTAAATATTCTGTGATTCTGTGATTCTGTGATTCTCCTTGTAATTTTAGTAGGCAATAATGTACTAGATGTCTGACAGCTGCTTCCTGATGCTTTCTAGGATACAGGCAACATTTTAGGACTACAGTGTAATTCCTTTCCCTCTTCCTTTTCGTCCTTGCTAAAAATTCACTCCATCACACTATCTACTTCCTGATATTTTTTACTGATTTTTTTAATATTGGTGGAAAGTGATAGTA